CAGAACTAACTTCCCTTTTCTTAGAAACGTTTTCATTTTTTTTTTACTAACTAGTCTTGAGGTCATTTTTTGTGATGTGTGAAATTAGTTCCTCTATGAACACATTTTACAACGCTGTACAGCCAGAAAGTATCCAAGCCTCTTTGTCTGCATTTTTAGCAATATTTTACTTTACATTGTAAATTAATTTCATAAAATGTTTTGATGTTTGATGTTTTGAAAAATGTAAACTTGGAAGAAGCATTTTCTTATGTCCATTGTTACTGACCACACAATATTTCACTACAGTCACAGATATTACAGTGTAAGTATTCCAAGAATATTTACATACCATCAACAAGGACTGTAGAGGTGACATCATAAAATTTGTAGGTGCGCCATCCAACATTTTCAGGGTCAATCCATGCATATATTTTCTCTCCATGGTGGGACAGTTCCAGTCCGGTAATCAGCAGACTGCAATCCCCTGATTTTCTATATAAATTAGTTTTGCCTTTGAATTTCTCAATGACATCGCTTGGATGCAAAGGATCGTAAACTAAAGGATAACCTTTAGAGACCCACTGATACCACACAACTCTAAGTGGGTTTGTGGGTGGGTTTGATGTATAGCTGAAAGAACATGGTATAACCAGACAGGAACCTTTGAGGCCGTGAATTTCCTTTGGCATTCTCACTTCCCATCCCAAAGCATCATACAGCAGAACACCTGTGGGATAAAAGTTGAAGAACATTAATGGCTGTGTGGTAGATTAATTAAACTAAAAAAAAAATGTCTTTATTGTTTTAAATCAATATATTTTCTGCTTTCAATCACAAAAATACTTCATAGTATGCATTATCTGCTGTAAAGTGATTTGACTGGCAAATGTTTTCCGTGCAAACCTACTTTAAATTACGTGTTGTTTTGGTGTGTGTTTTGCTAGGTCTTTGGATGTGGACTTGTTGTATCATATCACTTCATACATACAGAGGGTGAGGCCCACCTTGAAACACTTTACAATGGCATAAACGCACCATGTCTCTATCTGTAATTATTATAGGTTATGAATGAATGGATTAGAAACATCCATGGATGGAAACTCATCATGGGTGAAAAAGGTGACATCCCTTAATGCACAGCTCTATTTTTGATATCGGCTGTCACTGTCAATCATAGCAATGATTCGCGGCACAATTTGGCAGATTCACTCGTAACATTTTTTACACTCGCATTTGTCATTCCTGAAACAGTATACGTGGACGTTTGGCCCCTAGACTAACAAAACTTTTCTTCAAACTGTGAATTAAGTATGTAGAGAAACCAAGTGGGCGCTTCCCTTATAGCGCAAATGGCCGAGCTCACTCGTGCGAAAACTCCTGATATTATCGATAACTAACTACACAATGAATATCTTATTTAAACACTTTCTTTTTGTCTTGTTATAATAGGAAGATCTGTGAGCTTGTAGAACTCCGTAAACTTGCGAAAACAAAAATGAATTGGCCAGTGCTTTCAACAGAGATGCCTGTGATTGGCTACAATACTCAACGCTGCAAAAACACATTGTAAATAAAAACTTTCGGTATGTTTTGCGTTGTTTATGGATGCTCAAATCGGTCAGACCAAGAAACCACAATGAGCTTTTATAGTTTACGAAAATGTGTTGTTCATAAGGGGAGAAATAATGGGGATAGTGCTTGTGTGTGCAAATGGTCTAGGATATAATAATAAATTAAGATATACGAAATATATAAATAGATATGGCACATATCTATTGTGTCGTAGACACAATGGATACAAGATATTACATGTGCAGTTTAGAGAGCTTCATTGATTATAACGAACATTGTGAGATAAACTGAAGTGAGTGACAGCTTTTTAGTGATTATATGGAAGCGCTACTTGCTTTCTAGGCTATAATCAATACAGAATTTGAATAAAAGTTTTGTTTTACGTGCTGCTAACAGGACCAATGGCCACATACCCTGTACATGCAGCAAAGTTTCAGGAATGATATATCCCGCATCCCATATAAATGCAGGATTCATTTAGCTTGTTTGCCATCAGAGTTAGTTGCTTAGCCTATATCAACTGCCTCGTTGGCAGGCAAGTATTTCAGTTTAGCTGAAAAATCGCTCCTCTTCATAACATAAGGATCTTGTCTAACATATGTTGTGATTTTCTGTTAATAGACCCTTTTCGTGACAATGCCACAATTACGTCACAGCATTAGCTGGAGGCAAAAAACAAAGGAATACCTGGAGGTGGCCAATACAAACCAGCATAGAGTCGGCTATACATTAGGAGCTTAAAAAAGTGTCAGAATCGATGGAGTAGAGGCTCCAATTAGAAATTTTATCACATACCTGCTGCCATTGCCAGACAAAAGAAAATGACGACAGCTGTAATAAAATGAGCGGACTGGACAGAAACGATCATCAAAAATGCTTGCGTTTGCAGCGCACACTTAATATCAGTTAAGGTTAAATAAACTGTTGTCTTTTATGGATTATGGTTTGGTTATGAGTCTAAAGATTTCTCATGCATGCCCACCTAATCAGAAATTGGGGAATAAGTTAACTAACGACCAGTGGCTAAACATAAAGGAAGTCGCTTGTGTCGTCTCGCTTACTTTCTACTTTTCCAATTCTGCACGATTAATCAAATGCGATTGTCATGCACATCTTGTCAGTAAATCCGGTTCTGTAATCAGTAGTATATCTCCAGCACGTGCTTTCAGATGGAGCAGCATTTATTACACAGAGGAAGTTTTCCTGCAAGTTTGGTCTAATCTGACTAGGGCTGGGTGATAATCGATATATCGAGATCGCAGTAAAATTTGTCGATAACGATGATAAAGTTTGGACATTTTTACTCGATATGAATTAATCTAACAGTTTATCAAACAGCGTAAGTAAAGGCGACAACTAGTCAGTGCATGTCACTAATAAGTCTGCATGTTGTGTCTGTGTGAAAGAATGGCATGGTTTCATCTGACATACGATGGAAGGCGGACGGGGCCAAAAGTCTTTAAACGGAACATGTGAAATGTGACAGTGTCAACACGCATGTAGGCAATGGTTTTGATGGCACTGTATAAAGTTTTTCTGTGTGTGTAAGATATGGGAAATGTTGTATATGATTTTATTTGGTTGTGGAAAACAAACTTGGAGAAATAAATGAAGTAGAAGCAATGCTTTCATGTTCCTGGGTCAATACATAAACAAAATGTTAATAATGGATGAATTGCAGCATTGCTTTAGTTTATCAACTAAATTGTAGTTTTTCATTATATATATAATTAATTTTTTTTCATCCCTTGTCTTCTTCTGAAGCACATTAACCTGTGACACATAATTTTTCATTCTTACCTTCTCAATTGTCTTTTGTAGAGAAATGGAAAAATAACCTTTTATCAAGAAGAGAAAAAAAAAAATAAGAGAAGTGAGAGAAAGGAGAAGCATATTCACAAAACTCAGTATTTTGATGTGAGTTCCACCCCCAGGATGAAACATATTTCCTTGGTCTTATCTCTGACAAAAAGGTCTGTTTTAAGACCTTTATAATACACGAGTGCTAATTATGTGTACTATAAAATTACTATATGTGTAACACAGCTAGTCATCTGAATTTATTATGCCTGATTAGGATTATACATGTTTCCTTTCACAATCATTGTTACAAAGAATATTATTTCCAAAAACATTTGGTTTAATCACAATCACAAATTTGATTAATTCAGTAACAATATACTGTCAATGATTCTGTAAGAATTGTGAAACAAATTTGCATTAATGTATACAACAACACAGTTTACTATTTGCAACATTGCCACTGTCACGAATCCGGTCTATGAACTTCCATCTGCTAGCCACCAGAGGTCACCCTTCCACTACTATGGATTCTTGCACCACACTACTGTTGCACTTTACCCGGACTACAGTTCCCATCATCCATTGCACTGATTACACACACACAGTTGATTGCACACAGCACTGGTTGCACACAGCTGTCATCAATCACACCTTCCCTATATAACACTCACTCTGATCCCCGTCAAGCTGCCGAGTATTGTTTAACACATATCACTCTTCTAGCGATAGCGGCATTACGGAGCCCTTCCTAGTTCCTAGTTCCTAGTTCCTAGTTCCTAGTTCCTAGTTCCTAGTTCCAGTTCTAGTCTAGCCACTTTGTGTTGCCTTGCTGTCTGTTTCCTGACCTTCTGCCTGTGTTTATTGGATTACCCCTCTTGTCAAGCCCTCTGGATTCTGTTCGCTGATCGAAAATCCACGTTAGCTCTAGGAATACTCTTGTGTCTTGCCCTCTACATATCTGT